GTGTATTCGAATTATGAAATTCGGTACTATGAAATTCGGACTTTTGAAAATCAGAACATCGAAATTCGGAATAAAATATTTCGGAGTATTCGGGTCTTTTAACCTCATCTAAATCTGGCGGCCAAATTTTTACTCTACTGTATATTAGTCCGTAACGCCGTTAGTCTGCAGCTTACCTAGGAAGTCTGCGGATTATCTAGTTAATGTAAGAACTGAAACAATTTGTTTAACTTTATCGGACTCAATCACTCGACTCGACCAATCTGCAGTTTCATAATCTGCACTAGAACTGATTTACGCACATTAGCGGTAATATATATATCCATCAATCCATTCAAACTCTCGCATTGACAATTAGATTAAACACAGTAGGCAGCAGCTTGGATGTGTTCCTGGCATTGCCGAAGTCTATGAGCGGCGATTATAACTTACCATCAGGTGGGCCGCCGGTTCGTCTGCCACGGTTAGCAATTTGTAAAAAATGTCGAATAAACATATGTGCACACCTATACTTATTTTTTCTCGTTAAAATACAAACTGGCGAATCGCCACGACATTTTTCTGGAGGTGTCGATTCACACACTAATAAATTCAGTTTGTGCGAATCGACCACTAAGCCGCTCCACCGACAACGGCTTGGTCCTTAAAATGAGAGAGAGAGAGAGAGAGAGAAAAAACCAAATAAGTAGACGAAACCTGATACTAACTGAATGGAACCTGCGAACTAGTACTGAGTGGACTTTATTTACATACCATCGCAACACAAAATATTGATTTTAGTCCGTAATAGGCCTCGGAACAGAGCCTGTGTGGTGGTGTGATTCATAACAGGGAGGACTAGGTGCTGAATAATAATATACTTACCTACTAGATATTTAATTACATCGAGGGTCCTGTATAAAAAAGCAGTACACATTGAATGTTTCTCCAAGTACACAATTTGGGCTTTTGTTCCTGCCTCTATTAAATAAGAACGTGATAAACTGTTCACGCCATTGAGTTAAAACAACACTATATCAATGGTTCACGCAATGACACCGTTATGCGAGTTAAGGGATGACTGCCCAAAATTTACCGAATCTTTAGATCTCGTGATGAGTTTGTTTGATTTGTACTCAGAACCTTAAGAGTCTAAGAACCGTATAAAAATATTTTGTGTACTGATGAGGATGCATAATTACTAGAAAATAATACTTAATAATATATCTAGATATCTTCTTACCTCAGGTCAAGAAAGGTCACAGGTCCTTTCCTTTTCTTTTAGGTGTCGGTATGGGTCGAACATGAAGAGGCCTCAGTCTATTGTTTAGTTGTAAATTGAGGGGGACTCCAAACACAGACAATCCTAGGAAATTCCTCATCTGGTAATCGACTGCATTTGGAGTCAGTCAACACATTGCGATATTTATACAAACAATGATTCTGATATGCTTTTTTGACATTTAACATTGTCAGGTTATAAGTCTTTGTGTTCCATAAATTTCTTAAATCATAATTACCATTTATAGCATGAGTTTATTAGGATACGTTGCTTCTTTTTTCTTTTCATGTACATTTAAATTCTAGTTCTTTAATGCCCGTTTTCACCAACATCCCCTAAATTTTAAGGGCCACCTAGAGCAAGTTAGGTAATCCTTAGTGATATTTTCGTTTTCACCAACCTTTAGAGGACACCCAAATGCTTGGGTGTCTCTTAAAACTTAGGGGCCCGAATGTTCACGCCGTCATCGCGGCGGTAAGACCCGTTATGGAGGATTGGCTCGAGAGGCGTCACGGGACCCTCTCATACCGACTGACGCAGGCCTGGGTGTGACAGGTGAGGCCATCTGTCACCCTAGCAGAAGCAGGCCGGGGTGGCGGCGAGCACGTTGCAAAGCGCGCTCGCTTCCAGGGAGCACATTGAACATGGGGTTCCCACACGGGGGGGGGGGGGGGGGTCGTCTACTCGTCTGTAGATGACTCGAGGTATGTCGGGGCACCAGGGACTTCCTTTCTAGGGTATACCTGGTTCCCCGGCTATTAGTACCGGAGACGGCGTGCGGTTTTAGTCGGTTCGAGTCCGACATGCCACCGAGAGGTGGTATCCGAGTGGATTTCCGCACGGAAAAAAAAAAAAGGGGGGGCCCGAATGTTGTAATAACAATGACAAACAATAATGTAACCCCTAACAAAGTGACAGAGCAACTTGACGCAAGTTTTGTTTAAAATTATTGAAATGGATGATTTATGGGATTTTTTCATTACTGTTGAGATTTTAGAGATGATAAATAATCCTAGGTTATTCAATAGACCGAGAATTTACCGACCGCCCGAATTTATTTACAACATATGACGATAAAGTTTTTGTTACAAGATTTAGGTTGACTTTGACGGGCGGATAGCGGTATTCGGGCCCCGCACGAAGAGATACGCGACTGGCGTGAGGCCGCTCGCCGGGCCGGCTGGAGGCTCCACGTACTAGCTTTGCCGCCGTGGAGGCGCTCCAGCCGGTCATCGAGTGGGCAAGGCGGCAGCACGGGACCCTTTCCTTCCGGCTAACGCAGGTCCTTTCCGGGCACGGCTGCTTCGGGAAGTACCTCCACTCGGTCGCTAGGAGGGAACCGAGTCCCGCCTGTCACCACTGCGATTTCAGTGAGGACTCGGTTCAGCACTCGCTGGCAAATTTTTTGGGTTATTGCAGTCATCGGAGGGGACCTCTCGCTACCGGCCGTCATAAACTCTATGGCCGGTAGTGACAGACGGGGTGGACGGGACGGGTTTTCCCCTCCATCCCACATAACGGCCAGCCGCGTGGAGGTGGCGTCCACGTGTACCGGACGTCGCTTAAATGGAGAATGTACCTGAAGATGGTGCCCGCGCTATTGCGGGAGTCGCTAGGAGGGGTCCGGATATCTTAATAACAGCAGTTCCCGGATCTTTCCTATTACTGGTGCAGAGTGGCACACTGTGCGGTTTTAGTCGGTCCGATTCCGACACACCACCCCGCCGTGAACCCCGGTGGGGTGACGGCCCGATGAGGTTTACACACGTAAAAAAAAAGTAAAGAAAAAAGGATATTGTCACCTTGAATGATGGTTGTAAGCTGTGGCTATGAAATGTGGAGTAAAGTTACATCTCTCATTTCAACATGCTGCAATTACTGTGCTAGTTTCATATGCTGTACACGAGTTCTTTTTTCTCTAGGAGAGTAATGTGGACTCTCGAAGTTTCGTTCTCTCACCCCTAGTCTGAGTTCTTCCCAGGCATGCTCGATCGTATAGTGATCCAGGCGGTGTGCTGGACCTCCTAAAAGTAGTCATTCATAATCCTTTCAAACTGCCTTTCATCTTCATAAGATTCGTGTGTTTTGTACAAGGCGTAAATGTATTGTCTAGGAAAATTTATAACCAGGAAGACATTTTCCGTCATTCATTCATTTCATTGACTAATGCTAATTATACTAAATTCACTAACAAGTATTTATGACTCTACGAGCAAACCCGTACATTTCAATAGTTTTAGTTTTATTCTAACAGCGGCATGCAGCGAAACTCATTTACAATATAAAATTAATTGCATTAATTGTTGTTGCAACATCAATCCGGGCGCCGCGCATTGATATGTAGCAATTTCGTTGCAAATCTGTTAAATTTTCTTCTTCTATTAAATACAATTATTTTTTCCTATCACATTTATCTTTTATTAAGCACACCGTATTAAAACGTCAATGCAAGCACATTTCTAATATTTCTAATATTGAATATTTAAACGTCCAACTGAATGGATCATTTTGTAAATTACCGGTAATGCTATATAATATTACAGGAATAGAAGCAAAATTTCAACACTCTTCTTGAACTTAGAAAGCTTAAAAATAATTATATGAACAGAAAGTTTCACGGTTATAATTTGAAACAGTACAATAGAGCATTTCCGAGTGAAATGTGATTGAAGGAGACACCCCCGAGGTGCGTGCGCAAACTTCACGGTAACACCAAACGAACCATGCAATATGATCTACATTTCATGCGTTGCCTATTCATATGTGATGACAAACGATGGAAATTAAATTATAAGTTTTACCACTGAACATCATATTTGATGTGGACTTTATTAATGACTCGGTTTTTACGGCTCTTGATTTTGCAACTTTCTGTAAGAAAACTTGACACGTTATTGATTTCACTAGTTAGTTGTTACCTTCGGGCAAATCAATTCTACTGTTTTCGTTTATTTTGATGTATTACTAAGATTACAATGGTAAACTGAGTTTTAGGCTTGCTGAGCTAAAATCTAATCTAGGGTTTCTATTTAACGAGTTAATATTATGTTGCCTCTAAAAAGGTACTGTTATTATGCCGTTCTTGTAGTGGCCATATATTTCGTATTCTTAATTAATAATTAAATCAGGCAGAATTCTCATAAAGTTATGTTGATTCATTAATAAATAATATTTAGTGTCAATTTTAGTAAATTAAATTTAAGTCACTGCATTGACACCAAATAAATTTGTGAAATGGGATTTATTTATTTAAGGATCACCACAAAGGATGTACACAAAATATGAAAAATATATTTCACACGGGTATTGGTATGTGTATTCCTTCAATTACAGGAGACCACAGCATGCGTATTTTGAACTAAGTAAATAATAATTTTATGATACTATACAGCCTAAAAAAGAAAAGTGCTTAGGATGAAGAAGTATGCAGTATTAGTAGTAGTTTTGTAAAGATATATTGTTTCTTTACATAAAGCAATTATAAATAAAATAGAAGAATTGCTTGGTTGAAATTATAATGCAATGATAGCATACACTGCCCTAATAAGATGCACAATGCGAAGTGGTCAGTCTAAGCGGGCGTGATGACCTAGTCATCGCGGTGCACCGTAGCGGTGGCGCGGTTGAAAGCGACATCGGCGCGTAATAACAGTGGCAGGGAAGGTGGTCGGGCCGACTACGACGGCGTCTACAGGATGTACAGTGCGCGCGCACCTCGCCATGCGCACACGCTCGTCACATGGCGCGTCGCCTGGCGCTGATTACGCTGCTGGCGTGCGCGGCGGCTATACGCCGCCCGCCCCGAAATTCCGCGGACTTCTCCAACTCGGACTCCTTAGACTCCTTTTCAGTGTGGGACGAATACGACTCATACGAATCCACGCCTACGCCGCGACCGCGATCAACTACACCTAGTGCTAAAGTGTTACTTAAGGGCAAAAACCCTAAGGTGAATGTGACTAAAGACAACGCTAAAGGTGAAGATAAAAAAATAATTAAGACTACACATATTAATATAGAGAGTCATAATAATTTTCTAGGTACTAAGCCACCATTAGTAAAGCACAATTCAGAGACAGGATTACCTGTAGTCCAGATAGGGGACCAATATTTGCTAGTAGAAGCCCCTAACGTGGAGCATGTTGTTACTCGGAAGCCAGTGGCGACTCGGCGTCCGGTTTCCCGGCGGCCGACTGCGACGCGTCGGTCACCAACTAGCACTCGCCGACCAACCACACGCCCGATGCGCAATACCAAACCGACCAAAACACCATATAAAAAGAAAACAACCTGCCCGCCAAAGAGTTCGGGATGGCTGTCATCGTTTTTTGATGGAAACAAAGTTAAAAAGGGTTTAAAGACACCAGAGAAATCGGTATGGTTTTCAGGTACGTCCAGTTTTCCTATTAAATCTTAAATACTTTTAAGGAGTCAAGTTTCTTTTATTTTAATTTTCTTACTTATTTGTTTTAGAATAGACTTCAATGAAAAAAATAAACAAATAATGAATCATGCTACTGATAAAACTCAGTTGCATCAAAAACCTTTTTTAGTTTGTTTTTAAAAGTAGACGTAGGAATGTCGTACACCAAACAAACAACACTAATAACACATACTGTAATAGTATCTGACATTAGGCGCAGTAAATATAGCTGAATCTGATCTGATCTAATTCATGAACATCATCATCGAATTCCATAATAATCATTATTTTATTGAAGTTATGACATAGTATCTATTTATATACATTAAATTTATAAGGATTAACTTTAAAAGATTTAAGTACATAGTAAGTTCATTGAAAAGTTTTTGATGAACATACCTATACAAATACAATATACAAACAAATACAAATACAAAAATAACAGATAAAACACGTGTATTTGTGAGTGTGTACTATGTGTATGATTTAATGTATAGTAGTGTAAATATTTGTGTATTGGGAGAAATGAAGAGTGGGAGCTGGGGGCAGCTAACAGTTTGAATTATATTTACTGTATCTTGATAATTGCCACAACTTTCAAGCCAGTTAGTTCTCTATGATAGATTTGATTTTTCTTGTTGGTAGGTTTACGATTTTGAGTAATTTTCTACTCACTTTGTTTTAGATGTGCGGAAGATAGGCAAATGCATTATAAAAGTTGTCGTCATATTAGGAATAGGTATTTGAAAATACAGCGTTTAGGGAGATGGAGGTGTTCGAGAGAGTTAATAACTAACCTATGTTTTGTCATACTAGTTTTCAGAATGAAAATTTGTCGAACTCTGAGCACTTTACATTCTTTGTACAGGTCATCTGTAGAAAAGTGAATTGGTTTTTTAAGCATTAACTTCAGAATTGTGCGTTGATCCCTTGGCAGTTAGATCATTTTAGAATTTATTGTTAGTGTAGTAGTCTTCCTCACTCTGCCCTGCAGAATAGAATTATGGTTATTGAACGAAAGTGTCTCATCCGGTACTACTCCTAGGCAAGTATTGCCACTCCTGTTTCTGCGACTCGTAAGATTTGTCATAAAAGCTGTATCATAGCTGTAGCATAGCTATATCATAGCTGTATCATCCGCATTACAGATTCCTTCGGCACCCTGCATGGGAAGTTCTGGAATGCCGTGCAGAAAACGGTCGCTGCGAGGACACTTCCTTGTGGTACTCCTACGCTAATTTCGAAGGGTTTATCAATTTCAGTGCCTGCCTTTACACACTGACTGCGTTTTGTCAAGTAGTGAAACCAGTGCTTTGCCTCTCACTCCTTTACCTTCTAGTTTTTGCAAAGTTATGGCAACAAATACAGTATCAAATGCCTTGGCGAGGTCAAAAAAACATACCTAAGCAGCGGTTTTTTTTATCCAAGGATGATAATACTGTATCTGTCAGTAGGACAACTGCATCTGCTGTACACTTGCGTTCACTTAAACCAAATTGTTTGTCTGAAAGAAGATTTTTGTTGTATAAAAAGGAGGTAAGTCATCTATTTACAATCATTTTACGTAGTTTCGAGGATACACTTAGCAATTAAATAGTCCTATAAATGTTTGGACTCTTCTTATCATCATCTTTGTGAATCGGTGTGATAGCAGCAAGTTTCCAGCATTCGGGTTCGATGCTACTATATTAGTTATCACTAGAAGGAGAAATTATTTGTTAAAACAAAAACTTAGCAGTACTTCTAAGTACTCGTATTAAGTATTCTGTATTCATATTACTGAAACAATACATGATCAAGTAGTGTCTACCGACGACCTCAATAAACAAAACAAATTAATTCGTGAAAGTATAAAAATTAAATTAAAAAATCATTTTCGTATGAGTAGTACGGAACAAGTAGTTCCAAAATTAAACACCTCAGCGAATCCCAAAAAAAGAAATGTATACTACCCACTTTTACTTGTAACTTAACTCAGAAATGATTCAACTACACATTTCTAGCTTTTTTTCCATCGACAACATTGTGCACTCGGAATTCAAACGGTAAATAAATAACATTATTTGAGCGTTATGCAGCATTTAAGAGAGCAAATTCGACGAAAAAGGCCAGATTTGTGGAAAGAAAAATCTTGGATTTTGCACCACGATAATGCGCCTTCGCACAAGGCCATTATTGTGAACGAATTTTTGACCAAAAACTCAACAAACACCATCGAGCAACCACCATATTCGTGGCACCCGTTTTCAATCGGTAGAAGACATAAAGGAAGGAAGGAGAATTCGCGGCGAGAACTAAACTCAATTCCAGGAACAGTGTTTAAAAAATGTTTTGATGGTACTTTTGTTACGTATACTAGAAAATCTCAAAGTTTATTCATAATAAGAAAATGAATACATAGATTTCTTGTTTTAGAACCTACGCTTTAACAATTTTTCGACTCGGCAAAAATATAATACTCTTAAAAGGAATCAATAAACACACGGTCTTTCTATGAATTCTTTTCTACAGGGAAAATATATTTTATATTGGGCCATATTTAATATTCTATTCGCGATGTGGTTTCATAAGCAATATTTTAAATAAAACTGCTTTACCTGCTGTAAAAGCTTCAATAGTTTGCAAATAATGGCTGGTAGTTAAGAGTCTGCCACACAGTTCCTAGCTTCGTTAGAGGGATTAACAATATTTTAGTACTATCATAACAATTACATCTATTGATTACCATTTACTATAGATCACTATTTAGATTACAGATTACTATGGATTATATGGATCATATTTTATTACATCACGCGATAGTTTTGCTTAATATAAAAATGTAAGAATCTTCTATCCTAGATCTCTCTTTAAAGATCCATTAAATTATAAACATTACTAAACTATATTAAGAAAATTTAAACGTTTTAGTAATTTTACTCTCTAAATTTTACTTGTAAGTTCAGGATACGCTGAAAAGACGTGCACGAGTATATACACTATTAGGTTCCGCTTCTAAACCTTTTAATCCTAACAAAACGTGTTATTGTTTCGGAAGCATGAATTTGATAATGTTTAAAGCTCAACAGCAGAAACAATATGACATGGAAAAGAATTTCACTAAATAGTTCAACATTCACGAAATCATCATTATGAAATCGCAGGCGAGACGGAGGTGACGAGCGACTGAATCTTTGTGTTTCACAAGGAGAAAGAGCAAAATACCGGATAATATTTTATATTTGTACTTTCTAATGGGACATTACATGGTTGAACTGTTTAAAATGAGTTCAATAGTTTATTTAAAACTTTGCATAGTAAAATAGAGAAGTTTTTAATAAATTTCAGTTTAAAGAAGTTTTTTTTTAAGTTTCAATACTACAAGTACTAAAAGGTCTAAATTTTACCGTTAAAACTCGACAATAGCTACTACGTAAAACTACGTCTGAAAACCAAACGACAAATAGGTACTAATCCATATAATATGCCAAAGTTATGTGAAATGAGGAGCTTAGTTTGCCTCACTCCACTGTTTTAAGGAGTTAAACAGAAATTGAATGACCAGTGTGTAGTAAAATTATTGCTAATCCATTCCTCATTCTTTTTCTCAATAATTATTTATTTAAAAGTAGTTATTCTTTATAACTTACAAAAGATTTCAAAAAAATGATTCCGATCATAATTTATAGTGATATTTTTAATTTCCGCATTTAGAATCACAGATGGTCCACTATGCGTTCAGAGCTAGACTGCCTTACCTAGGCGAGGCAGTCTAGCAACGTAATCAGTTGTCTGCCATTCAGCTGCATCAGGGAAGCGCTCCATTGTCATGGGGTTCTCAAGTACCTGAGACGGCTAGTGGCAGACTTTGTAGAGGAGCGTACCGTCGTGTACGAGGACCGAGATGGCAATCTGAACTGTCCGCCCATGTCGTGCGCCTTAGGGCGACTTTTACCCAATTTGGGTGGATCCAACGTCGCAAAGAGACGGCTGTACACGGGGGTTGCCCGATCAATGGCACTGTACGGTGCACCGGTGTGGGCGACGGCTCCAACCGCTCAGAATAGGGCTCGCCTCTGGCCCCCTCAGAAGATATTGACGGTCAGAGCCATACGCGGTCACCGCATCGTCTCGACAGAGGCGGTGTGCGCATTGGCCGGTACTCCCCCGTGGGATTTGGAGGCGGAAGTGCTCGCCGAAGTATTTCGGCGGACGGCTGAGTTCCGGACGGATAGTGGCAGTCGCCCCCGCCCGAAGAGATGCGCGAGTGGCGTGAGGCGGCTCGTCGAGCCACGATGGCTCGTTGGTCGTCCCGGCTGGTGGCTCCACGTGGTTTTACCGCCGTGGAGGCGATCCAGCCGGTAGTGACAGATGTTTCACCGCATGCGAAGACGTCATCTCGCAGAAGCGGAGAGTAATCCGTCGCCGGACCGATAGAGAATGTGCCCGAAGGTGGTGCCCTCACCGTTGCGGGCAGGCGCTAGGAGGGGTCCAGATGTCTTAATAACAACAGTTTCCGGATCCCTCCTAATACAGGCGCAGTTTGGCACACCATGTGGTTTTAGTCGTTCCGATTTCGACACACAACCCCGCCGCAAACCCCGGTGGGGTGACGGCCCGAGGGGATTTCCACGTAAAAAAAACGTATGCAGGTATAGTCCAACGACTTATGCGCGCTTTATGAGTCTACTGTCATATGTTAGATGTAACTGACACATTTTGTTATTTATTGTACTGAAAAATAGTAAAATGTGGTTATACTTGCAAATAAAAGAAATCGAACTGATCAAGATTTTTTATTTGTCTAGTTGCGGTTAACTTTTTATTTCGTTTGTAAGTAATTATAGTTTTTGTACATGTTTGGTTTGGGATCGCCAAAATTGAAAGTGTCTGACCTAGTGTTTTAAAAGTCAATTTAAAAATAACATGTTTTAAATACCTACATAACAAAGTCAGATATATAAGATGATATAACGAAAGTTGAAG